ACGCGCGTGCTCTAACCGCCGTGCCGGCGGGGGTGGCGGCGAGGGGTCGTCGGGGGCGGTAATTGCGTGTTGCGGGGTTGTTACGTCAACTGTCGCCAGTCTCGGATGGATGGGGTCTCGGGCAGCGTGGCGACCCCTGCCGGTGCAGGGCGGTGCGGCGGCGCAGACAGAGCCGGAGAGGGCGGCGAGGTCGGTGGGAGGGGGGGGGGCGGAGGCCGCCGCGTCTCCCACGCCCATCTGCGCCCCCGCCGCGCCGGCCATTAACAAAATTACCACGAGACGCGGGGGCGCGGAGCGGAGGTGGCGAGGAGGAGGAAGGGATGAGGATGGGGAGGAGTGGAGAGGAGGGCAAAGAACGCGCGCGTAAGGAAACGGCCCCGAGAGACGCGAAGGCGCCTCCGCGTAAGTCCTGCGCAGGCACCACTATCACATGGTAGGAAAAATCAGAGAGACTATGCATGCTATGGGATGAGCACAATATTTATAAAATTGTTTTGCACCACTCTAATGAGCAAATACTGCATTTTGTTGCGACACTTTGCTCTTAAGTATACATACTTAAGCTCTAGTCCACTGAAATTGTCATTATAATATTATTACACATTTATAACAATAGAAAAGACATTATTTGCTAAATATATCTGGAGAAAGGTATAATGTAGATTTGTTTAATTTCTTCTAGTATATGGAATGTGTGAGTTCTGGTATATATAGATCTACGCCATATTTCTTTGCGAAAAAATTGAAATATTACTGTTTATGTGGCGCTCAATCTTCCAGTTTGTGACCCTACTGTATTAGTACATTTTGGTAAGAAATAACAGAGTGATATATAAACGTTTATTACAGATTTCTTGTATGTTACAGACAAATTTTACCTAAAAACTCAATTTCTATCTAAAGTGGCATAGGTTGCTCGAGAGCTCTTCAAATAAAATGAGTATATTTACATTGAATGTATTATGTAGTTCTATGAAAGCGCTTTTAATGCTGACTATAACATCCTCGCATTCATGATGTCTGAAAGTAGTAGAAAGTATTTACCTTAAATATACTTTATTGACAAGAGACGATTATTTGTAATGATACAATATCTGACTTACGAGTAAGTATTTTGACGTGGAATAATTCCTTAATGAATAATTGTATTTACCTATCATAATAATAATTTTTGAGAGCAATGCTTGTTATTTCAAGAAAATCTATATACTCCTTAGTGTCTCACCAGTTGTTTAGTGCAAATGACTAGGAGAAAATTGTGAGAATGTGCTTTCAAAATATTTATTTCAATTGGTGAAATTAAAATCATTGGTTTTTAATATGATTTTAGAGCTTTTAAGAACATTTATGTAGGCACATTTGCCAAGAATTCGTAGTTTTTAGCGTAGCATGATTCGATACTGAATGCCTTCATGAAATTAGTTGTGCCGTGAGTGGTAAGGCGTATTCTCTAGTAAACTACGTTTAAGAGTAGTTTAGGACTCATCGTGCTTTAGAACAAACTAAATTAAACACCAGTGTTAATGAAAATACTATTAGAAACAGAGGGAAAGTTTTTTATAATGCATTTTCTTTAAACATCTCTTAATTGTATTTGACAATTTGGAATGAATGTCAACAAAATCGAGCCACTCTAATGCCTATCGAAAGAAAAGAAAATGAAGATATAATTGATACATATATTCGTTGTACCGCAATATTCTTTTTTTCCTAACCATTGCATTCGTTTTCTGACCTTCATAAACAGATATTAATTTTTTTCTTTTTTTTCATTTATTTCTTTTTAAAACAAAAATATATTTAGTGTCTGTTTATTAAGTTCAAAAAACCAACACAATTAAATAAAAAAGATGACCAAACGTGTTAAATATTTCTGAACAATTTCCATGTTTGTTGATGACATAATTACAATGTTTGCTATGTTTTTTCTTCTTGCTGGATAGGATACAATATTTCAATATCAACATTAATTTCTTATCGTTAGTGGATTAATGATGTTTTGAAATAGAAAAATCGGTAATAATTTGTGAACTTAATGAGCGAATAGTCAAAAACTCCAAAATGTATTTATATGTAATTAAACATCACCAATTTTAGTACGTAATTTTCACATAAAATGGAGGATGCAAATTCAATAATATCAATTGAGAATCTGTACATTTGGGAAACATCGTGTCCTGGAAAATATCGTAGAGTTTTTCTTGACGTTAAACAGCCCAAGCGCCTCGTCCATTATCGTTGGATGAGCACCTCGGGCACCGCTCCGCCGCAGCGTCCGCCGTCGACTCCCGCGCGGAGGCCGAAGCGGAGGCCGCGGCGGAGGCCGCTGCGGAGGCGGCGAGGCGGCGCCGAGCCGGCGGCGCTCTGCGGCTGGCCGCCTTCCGCCAATGGGGCGCCCCGCGCGCGCCGTCCTCAGGTGGGGCGGCCCTACGGAGGCGGCGTCGCGGCAGAGGAAAAGAAGCCTCCCAAAGAATTGACTGGGAGTGGGGCCCAGGAACGCAAATCGCAGACCCGCCATACGTTCCGGCTTCTTTTTTCTCCTCTTTCTCCCGCGGCGGGCGGCGGCGGCGGCGGGCAGGGGGCGGCGGGGGCGGCGGGGGGCCTCCTGCATCTTCTTTCACGCGCCGCCGCCTGCGCCCGCCCCCGAGCGCCACTTATTTATTTCCCGCTGATGCTACTTTACGCGACTGCTTGGAACGCCGAGGAAAATTCACAATTAGCGTAAGCGATGGGGACCTACGCGCCGAGACAATACCTGAGCGTCCGTTTACAAGAAAAATGTGCGTTGTACGTTTTCGGAATACCTCAGCCTTCCACGAGGCAATAACAGTAGCTCAAAACGCAATTATACTCCATCTACGCGTTTCCTAATTCAAATACGTGGGAGACCGTCTTCGGAAAGCAACAAGGGAGATTCGTTTCCGAAGGGCGGCGGGCTGGAGGCGGAGCTGGCATTCTGAACGCGCGTGCTTCAGACGGGCAAGAAAGAGAAATCTGTATTTTTAAATCACAAATTATATCTTTCTTGCAGAGAGCATATTCCGAAAAGTTATGAGCGGTGAAAAATTATAAAATTAGATTTTACGGTTAAGCGAGCTCGCTGACGTCGGAGTGTCGGGCGCGTTTAAGTCTTACAAGTGCCTCTCGTTTTTCTTTCTAAGGAGTGATTATCATATTTAACGCGCGTACATTAATTTATTTCTTTCCTGCGCGGCAGGCTCACTAGAAACCAAACCCGTCGTAAGTTTAATAAGATTATGACCACAGGCGACTCTTGCAGTGTCAGTAAGCGAAAGGCACCTGATACTTCATCCGTCCGGTGCAACGACTTCTCTTATTTCCCTGGTATGGACGATGGAAACGAAACTCCTTCTAATAAATTCGCGACTCATCCTCCTGTACACGGCATCTCTAAAAAATTTCACGAAAAAAAACTACTCGTCCGCGGGAATAAATATCAAGGTGAGCGTGTTGGCTTTCTCAGTCTGCGGCAACGTTGTTCTCGTGCATGCTTTATGACACCTCACAGCAGACGACCAAAGAGCCTTATAACGCTCGAGGACTTTGTCGAATATACGGCAGAAGCGCCCATCTAAGCGTTACCTTAGAATCCGCACTAAATTACACATCAGACACTCCATCCCTGGGTGGATCCGTGGAGCCCTTGCGTATTAAGCAGTAACTTCTCTCTCTCTTTTCTCTCGTCTCGTCAGCCTTCTTTTTCTTTTTTTGACTGAGCTTACGGTATATTTCCTTTAGTGAAACGTATCACCACTCTGCGGCGGGGCGAGTGCGTTTTTAAACTTTGAGAGGTCTCATTCGCCTTCAGGGAAATGGAGTTTATAACGCTTTCAGGTCTCGCTCTGCGTTTATCAGCTGTTTTTATCATGGCGGTCCCCTTGCCCCTTCCCGTGCGCCCTCTAAGCTCCTTTTACGCGAGGCGGGCTCCTGAATTTCGAAGCGGGCGCTGGCGGCGCGAGGGAGAGGGAGAGAGCAGCTGATAACGTCGCCCGGCAGTGGGAGAGAGAGAGAAGAGGAGGAGGGGAGGGGAACGGAGGAAGAGAAGCGGAATTCCTTGATAAGTTCGCGGAAAACCTCGGGTTAGTTTCGGACCTTCCTTGGGATAGGGGCTCAACTCGCGATTGTATGCCGTTTTGTAAACGAGTTTACCGTTTCGTTACGCGGTCTGTTTGTGCGCCTTGAATGGTGGATACTGAAGGTACTGCAGATTTTTCTTGCGAATACAGATATGTAAGAATACACGTGCAAAGGGAGAATGTGTTTATTCGTGAATTTGCCTACATATATTACCCATATTAATTACCACGAAATACAATTGCCAAAAAAGAATAATACACTTTATACTAACCAGAAGCAAAAAACATTTTTCCAACACGTGAGCAATTTTTATTACGATGTAAAACTTTATGATAATCGGAGCCTTTAATACGAGTTATTTCTTACATTTATCTATCATCATAATAATCACCCTATCTTTGAAATTTTCTGTTTTTTAAATTACTGCCGTTACTTGTCACAAAGTGATAAACATTTCATAACACATGTACACGTTTTTCCCTTACAAACCAGCTGTCTAAGCAATCAATTTATTTTTTTGTTACAGGTATGTCTAGTGCACGTTTCTTCCCGTATGCCTACGTTTTTAGCCGGTGTTAGAGCGGTACGTTTTGGAATAATCAATGCATGCTTTATAGAACATTCTTAAAGTATATTTGAACACTTTTGTTTACGTAATGTATTACAATATTACACAATTTATTTTGAAAAACTTGCCCGTTATTTACTCTTTTGGTAATAATTTAAAAGACATTTTATATGTAAAGGAAAACATTATCGAGATTAATAACGCATACTAGACAACTTTTTCGTACAACTCACATTTCTCTAGAACATACCTGGCCGTATTGTGACGTCCGATGAAAGGTTGTCAACACTGCTAGCTACAATCTGGCAAACTGACCGGCAACGATGTCACACACCTTGCGCCTCGCACGCCGTCCTCTCCACTGACCCGCGCGCCGCAGCCGCCCTCACATTGGCGCGTCCTCACCGCGAGGACGGCCCGAGGCCCGTCCGCCACGCGCGCCTCGCCGTCACAATAGATAAGCACGGCGTGCGTCTCGCTGAGGACAGGGCTGGCAGCCCTTTAAGGCGTCCATTACTGTCACCCGGACGCAGGTCCCTTTTCTAAAAGGGTCATTGCGACCCCGACCGCCGACGCCCGACTCCGAATATTGTCGAAAAACCCCGCCAGCCAAGACCCGGCCCGCCCGTTGTAAAGCGAGCTTTTTACGGCGGACAGCCGGCCGTGCGACGTCACCGCCTCTGCAGTCGCCGCCGCCCGCCGTCCAGGTATCTGACAAGGCCTCTCGGAAACGGCGCTCAACAAGAGGTAACGGCGTCGTGAAAATTATACGGCGCTCCTCAAATGCTGTCGGGTTAATACATAATTCCCTTATCTCTCATCGGTCGTAGGAAGTTTGCCCGCGTTACTGGATGTCGTGTTCACTCTCGCTAAGAGCTTCGAAGCACATGTTTCAATAGGTGCTGAGGAGATCTTTTCTTCACACCAGTGAATGAATCGCTCTCTGAAAGAAGAGAAGTTCTTCTAGGTGAAAGGTCACATGAAATTCAAATGATGCAGCTTTCTAGTTTGCATGTCTAGTTTAAACTCGTTCATAAATTGCTGAGTACAATAGAACAACCTCCTATCCATTCCAGTTTTTTGTAGTTGATTAATTTTAAATTTGCATACATATATTACATCTAAGAATTATTTAATCATTTTGTTAACGAGTTAAATCGAGTTTGTGTTAAATCGATTAAAATTATTTTTTCTATCATTAGACAGCAGAACGGGTCCTTTAAATAAATTTATCGATATTAAAATATTTATTCTTATTTAAAAAGATTAGTAAACTTTGAATTGTTCTGATTGATAAGCACAATTCCTAGTGTAAGCGAGGGTGACATTCCGGTCCTTTCAAGGGTAGGTAGTCAAAGTTGTGGTTTGCCTGTGCTTTCCTCTGTGAATGATACTACGACGACATTGGCCCGTGAATGATGTTAATAAATGAATGATTATAGGGGAGACAATATATACGTGCATGGTATGTAAAGCTAACCACTCCATATAAAAGTGGTGAACACATCCGGCCTCATGTTGGGCTCGAATTCGCAACTTTAGGATGAGCTACTTGGATGATGGTCCTACGGCACCAACTGTGACGAAACTATTTTTTCTGGAAAGTGTTACTTAGAAAATACTCTTACATTTTAGTTTATAAGCCTTTTATCTTGATAAAAATGAAAAGGTACTCTAAATCGGAGAAACGTTTTAAAATTATATATTTTGTTTCAAGTGCTTTCGGAATCAAAATTAAAAGAGAAATAAATCTCATCATTTCACTACACAAGTTTCCGAATGAAATATAAATAGAATCTAAATTTCAACATTCCGCGATTGAATATCAAATAGCTGCCTCATGTGACACGGAAAACGTAAATGTCTTGGGTAACGACATTTTGCATATTGGACCGTTTGTACTGCTGGAGAGCTCGAGGGAGAAAAAAGGGGGGAAAATGGCAATATGCTGAAGCGAGGCAAGTGAGAAAAGAATAAATAGAAAGGCAGAGACGTCATCTTTGAAATGAAACCGCTGAGATACCGCTCGAGAGGGTGAAGCACGGCGGTCCCCTCCCAGCAGTCCCTGTTTCATATCCCGTAAAGAACAGTTCCTCCTCTGCCTGTCCTGCCCGACTGCTTCCGCCGCCCCGCCCGCTGCTCTCGCGCGGATAAATCCTTTTGCAGGTTTTATTGCGTAGGGCTATTGCATATGTGAAACTTGGTTATTAAAAGCAATATTTTAGAGTTATTGTGGCAGCAGCATTGACTCTTCTCCTTTTCCGCTGCGACTACGCGGGAAGATATTGGTCAGCAAATATTAATACGCTGCGCAGGCACGCCTTGCAGAAATGGGAATATTACTAATATCCGCAGAGCTGCTCAACTCGTTGAAAAGCGTGTTTTCTGTGTGTGACATGAAATAAATGAAGAACTCTACATTAGATTTAATTTATTTTTCGTTTACAAATAGTAAAAACTATACGGGACTCACAGAAAGGTGGATAAGAATTCCAGAATTTGACTCAAGCATTGGATGGCATTAAACGAAATAAAAAACGTTAGCAGTAACTCTGTGGGTAACTAATGGAAAACCAAGAAAAAAAATTATTAAAGCAGTATTGAAATTTAAAAACCGTGTTTTTTATATTATTTATTACAATAAGCCTTTTTAGAAATAATATAAAAATAATTATTCAAATTCTATTAAATAAATCAATTAGCTGCTCCACATTTCTGAAATGTCTCCAGTCTAATGATTATAACTCCGTAAACGGACTTGAGCTTGAGCTCGTTTCGAGTGCGCCGGTGGTGGGGGAGAGCGTACTCGGCTGCCCCTCCGCGAAATGCCGCGTTTTCGGATCCGCGTTGAAAGAAGTAGGCGGCTGCGGCGCGCGCCGCTCCGCTACTCATTAGAGCAAACATACGACGGGCGGCGCGCATCTCGCGGCTCGCGGCGCCGCAGTAAACACAATTTTGTTTCACCCCCGGAGGCACCGGTATTTACATTCCAGTACTCCGCAAGCCCTTGCCAGCTCGAGCATGTGGGGAATTTTCTCATTTAAAACGCACCTCTCCCTTTTCTTTTACGCTTTAAAATATATATATTTGCATATTCGCCCCCCCCTCTTCCTCCCATGTGCAAACATCTCCGGGGCGAACTTGTTGAAATGTAACAGTCCCGTTCTGCGGCGGCGACGGTCGCCGACGGTACCGGGCCCCCAAACGTATGGCGAGCTCTGCGCCTCCCCTCTGCACGCGGAATTTGTGCGTCGCTCTGCAAGCAGCGCAGTGGGCGAACCGACGTTCTTGGCGGACTTCGGTTTTCAGTTGGAGTACGTAAGGAATGTAAATATTTGCGAGCAAAAGATAAATAGGAAGAATACAAGTACTGGTGAGTTGTATTTTTGCAATACACTATTTATGAGAAAAAAGTAATAAAAATACGCGCAGTTAATATCATTGTTTTTAAGCTGAGCGTGCCCCCTTCATAGTGTACAATTGCCAAAATAACGAATTGATATGAAGCGTTCTTCAAGATCTGAAAGTTTGTTATCTGGACACTTCTTTTTATACATATTTGGAATATATAACTGTACAGTCGCCGTTCTCTACAGCGTGTAGAGTAGCCTAATAGTTAGGTAACATTGTATTTAGAAGATCTGGAAATTGTTGTGACATTTAGCTCTTATTCATGTTCGGAAACAATCTACGGGCGTACAGTAATTAACGTATAATGTACGTTGTTATGTATACTGTACACGGTTACTGTGCTGGTACATACTGCACCCGTCCCGAACTAATACTGTAAATCAAAATAAAGTAAACCATAATAAAAATGTTATCAATTTTACTTTCTTTCTAGGTGTTTTTGGGTAAGTCAGTACACAAATATTTGAAAAAATGTTTGGGGCTTGAGTATTCAAAAAAATATTTATAGAAATATGTTTTGACAATATAACTGCATGTTTTAAAAGCGTCAAAATAGAAATAATCTGGCTAAAAGGGCTGGTACATACTTGAGGTATCCAAAAAAACCGAAACATATTTAACTTACATTGAGATGCAAGAGAAAAAATTATTATTCGAACAGACAAAATTTCTCTTAATTCTACAATTTGAATGGTAAATATAAAGTAAACTATATTACCTTTTTTATTAAATTATTTTATTTATATTATTTTGAAGCATTAATACTAAAATAAACGATATAGTATACGAATAGTGAATGAAGGAGAAAATTTGAAAATTATTGATATTTTCTGGGGTTCAAAAGGTCTTTCTTTGCTTTATTCCGCTTCACAAAATACTAAATTATTAAGCAATACGTATGGAATAAACCAATGAATTTTCTTCAGCAAAATAATCTGCTCCTATTTACCTACCACCAGCTAAGCTGGAAGCTATAGGGCTCGAGTCTTAATGGTGTCGGAATGTTTGGGACTAGCTAGATAGCTGGATCGAATTCAGCTACAGTCGGAATTAGCAACGTAGTGACCGATAGTTCTAACACATTTTCTTAATTTATTCGATCAATATAAGGCGAATGAGGGAGGGGGAAGCAGTACCCTGACAAACGCGGGATCTTTCCTTCCTCATCTTTGCCTTGACTTCTCCCTTTTACATACCACATTTACACGATCACATATACCAGAATACCAGTTAAGAGCTTAGAGCTTCTACCGGTTAAGGTGATACTCGCTTCGGGAGATACCTTGAGAGAGATAACTCTACAAACAGTCGTATATATTTGCGTCAGATCTCACGTTCTAATGTGAAAGAATACTGACGCCTCCCGAAATTTAACTTGCACTACACTTACGACTATTTTATAATAGACCCACCCACAATTGATACCCACTCACTATTTAATTTTTCCGTCGGTTATTAGAAAAGAAATTCAGCTTCATTTCGTATTCTGGCGGATAGAGTAAATAGTGAGTTTCGACCAACGTGGTCGAGAATCGCAGCCAGGCGCACTGTGAGAGCATCGTGAGGGCGGCTTGAGGCAGCCGGAGGGCAGCAGGCGCCTCCGCGACGCCGCCTCCGCCTCCGCCTCCACCTCCGCCGCCGCCGCCGCATCCTGCGCCGCCGCCGCAGGCGCGTCGGTGAGCTTAGGAAGCGACGCTCCGACCACCTCGGAGTTAATTCCAATTCCTCGCGACATAATTTCATTAGCGCAAATTCCGTGACAAGACTATGCGCTCCGCACGCGCGCCGTGTCCCACGGCCCCTTGCGACGGCGGTGGCGTCTCCGCCGCCCGCGCTCGCTGCACCCTCCACCGCAGACGCCAGTGCGCACGGCGCGGCGCGGTCCCGAAACACGCCTCGCGAGGTGCATTTGTTTCCGAAGCGCGCGGGCGCGGCCGGCCGCCGCGGCGCGGGGGAGGAGTTGCTGCTGCTGTGCAGGAACTCGGGATTATTGCTTGGGGGAAGGCAGTTTCGTTCGCTGCAGTTGGCCGACGAGTGTTGGCCAAACTTATTCATTACTGAGCGAGGAAAAAAGTAGGAATGTGGGCGTATGGAAGGTGCGGATTTTCATCTCCTTGCAGGATGTTATTGCGGAATTAATTTAG